TTCTAGTGTTAAAAGAATACAAATAACACGTCAGTTGAAGTTCTGCTCGCCCACTCTGTTGGGGAAGCAGCGCATGGATGCATTTAGCTGTCTCAGAAGACCTCAGATGGAGAACTTGAAATTCTGTAATTCATGTTGTTTAGGAAGAAGCAAGCACTATTCCAGAGCTGATATGCTGTGCCTGAATAGAGCAGCCCTGTAGAAAGATCCTAAGTGTTGCAGATTGTTTTTAAGTCCATTTGACCCTAGTCACCACTTGATAAACTAGCAAATGTATTATCAGCATGTTTAAAACCATCTTTTCTCTGAGGTACTCTTCATCTGAATTAATTAATTGAGTTGAGGGAGTGAGAGGGAAGGCTTCTATGGTGGTGGGGGTTTTTTGTTTGGGGGTTTGTTTTTGTTTTGTCTTTTCCCATAGTTAGCTTTTGAAAATGAACAGCATTTACTGGAGATGTTAGCAGTGCGCCAAAGTCAGGCCTACTGGGACAACTGCAAAACAGTGCAGATGATGGTGTACAGAAGCCCCATCTGGACAGAGCCTCAGGATTTCACCACCTAAAGATGGAAAGCAGAATTCTGAAGGTTAAGCTGAATGCCAGAAGATTGCATCTGTTGTACAGGATGGACCTGTCTCAAAGCCCAGCCTCAATTGGCAGTAGTGATGGCTAACCATATAGCTAGAGCCACACAAGAGAGTGATGCTTCTCCAGCATGCTGTGTGTCCAGCAATAAGAGGTTTACAACTCATTGCTATTACATCCTATATTATACAGGTGATTTCATCTTGAATCACACTTGCTCTTTTCTTTGTATTTCTTCAGTCCTTCCATAATCTTTTTCAGATGATCAGAACTCCACTCGCTACTGAAATTGAGGAAATAACCATGGCTCTATATAGTGGCATAAAGATATTTCCCTTTTTATGTTCTATAGCTTTCATAACAATAACTTGACAATTCAGTAGTGAAATGGAAGTACAGCTAATTCAGAAAAGGCATTAGGAATCAGTTAGAGTTCATTTTTTCCATTATCTTCATTCATACATCATGTAACTTTACATCATAAAATATATCTGCAACTTGGAAATAATATATATGTAACAATAACAAATAAAAAGTGATATTTTTGACTTATTTAAGCACCCACATGTGAATAGGAAGATGACTCTTGCAATCTGCAAAACTACTGGGGTAGCTAACTGTTGGCTGCAGAAATCTGTCACTCCTTACAGTGACAGCCTTGCTTCCAGAGCTCGCTGAGAGCATGAGCTGTAGTGCAGAGATCCTTGGGCTGGTCCTTGACAGCTGGTGCATTTGTACTCTGCAGGGCAGTGTTGTGCAGGATGCTGCCTGGGAGTGTGACTCAGGTCCTGAACTCTGCTGTGCTGACACAGTGGTGCTGTTCTGAGGCTAAAGCTGCACTCGGCACCTGCTGAGAGCCCTCACAGCACCCTCTGCGGCCTTGCCAGGCTGTTTTGATGCAGGGCCACAGCCTGGGTGTATTGTGATCAGGCAGAGACTGCTTCTTGGAGAGATTTTTCTCCATTCATGGCAACCCATGAGAACAGCTGTAGGTCTCTAAACTTAGCAATCATCTAAATTTAGTGGAGCTTAAGAAAGGTGAGTCATATGGATTTATTTTAAAAAAATATATCACTTAATACTGAAACTTATTAGGTGCTGGTTCTCCTCTGCAGTGATTCGCTATCGCAGTTTGCTGTGGCAGTTCTCTAGCTACAGTATGGAAGTTTAAAAAAAAAAAAAAAAAAAAAAAAATTAAAAAAA